TTTAGGATCATTTTTTTTATTACCTTAATGTGTCCAAGTGTTTTATTTCTAAATGTTTTTATTCTTATATATTTTTAAATATAATACAGTAATACAATGATTTACATTTAAATCAGCATAAAGGACACAAAAAATTAATTTGATGAATAACTTACGTTTTGTTTTTTTTTGCATTATAATAATGACATTTTGAGGCAAATGTGTTGGTCATAAAAATGAAAAATCTTAATGTTCCATTAAAACAGGCTTAATTTTCCTTAAAAAATGAATTTGATATAATTTCTCTTGTTTTTAGAGGTGAAATATGGGCAGTTTTGTGGGATTCACGCATTAGTGGCGATCCCCAAACAGAACCACAAACATTGCGTATCAAAACTGAACATTTCTTTCTACATCATAAACACAAATCGGTACAAAAGAAAGTCAAACTCGAATACATGAACTACATCCTGCAGCGGAGCTTGACCTTGTGTTGAATACAAAGGCTCATGGGTGTGTGTGCTATATAACAGCACACTGTAAATGGAACGCCGCAGCATCAAACAGCAGGACGGTCCGGACCCGCAGACGCTGATTTCCACCGATGGTCCATGATCACGAGCCCAACGAGCGGCTCGGGAAGTTACTGTGTGCATGTGAGTCTTCAACACATCTGTTTATCATATATAAATCACGTGTGTGTGTGTGTGTGTGTGTGTGTGTGTGGGTGTGTGTGTGAGAGAGAGTGTGTGTGTGTGTACTGGAACAAGAACGGGAAGATAAGGCCACGTCGACGGAGAGCTTCCTTATGTCAGGATCTGTCGGGAAAAACATCATGCAAAGACGTTCAAGATGTAAAGCTGGTTTTCATTCATTCAGAGTAAAAGCAGAGTCGCAGTGGAAACTGAATGCATTAGTTCACTTCTGCAGCATTAAACTATCATCAGATACACACAGAAACTCACAGCTCTTCACGACAACCCGTCAAAATAAGAGCTTGGTTGAACTCGGAGAAATAAGAAATATATTACTGCTGTACAGTAGAATGTATGTCTTAAAGTGATAATATTAATAATAGATAAAAAAAAAAAACTTCTCAATTTTTCTCCCACGTTTTAATTTAACAGCTGTTGTGTAGCACTGTTTGCCAAAATATGAAAAGGAATTGTTAACTTTTCATTACATTTTAAAAGAGTTTTAAAAAGTTTTATGCATTCATTTGATTATTGCCGTTTTTGATACTACATTATTAAACCATAAATCCAGAAAAAGTCAAAGGGACAAAACTGAATTTTTCATAGGGACCTATTATTGTAAAAATGTTAATAAATTATTAAATTGTTAAAGTTTTCCAAATTCAATTGATTATACATTATCTTTGACTGTTAAACAAAATTTGTAAAAAATAAAAAATAAAACAGAACTTGGAGGAAAAAACATTACATCAGGCCTTAAAATGTAATAACTTTTAATAAATTGTTTTAATTAATTTGACAGGTTTTTGATTAATAAAATAAAATGTAACCATGAAAACAGAATCCATAAAAAATAAAACAGGAAAAAAAAAAAAAAAAGTAGAATTTGGTTGGTGGGGGAGATTAAGGCCCTAAAATTAAATATTTGTTAATAACCTGTTGTTAAATTATGTAGGTTTCATGATTTTAATAAATTAAAAATGAACTTGTTGATAAATAAAATGTAACATAAAAAAGATGGAATCCAGAATGATTAAAAAAAATGGAATATGGGGGAAAACAAATAAAAAATAAAATGGATTTCATAGGGCAAAAATTAATTTTTTGTTAAACTTTTATAAACTTATTTAATCAGAATCCAGAAAAACTAAAACCATAAAGGAATCCAGAATATTAGAAGCAGAAAAAATTTATTTTGGAAAATAGTCAAATGGAAAATGGAGGAGAAAAAAAAAAACATTTAATTGGCAGATTTTGTAATTTTATATAATTCGTGTAATTTTAGTTAGAAATTAAAATTAATTTACTTAAAATTCAGTTTAAATTAAAATGAATGGAATCCAGAAATATTAAAACTGAAAAATGGAACGCAGAGTAATCAAAACAGAAAAAAAAGGAAATTTGGAACTAAATAAAAAAAGAATTCTGGGAAAAAAAAAAAAGATTTCATAGGACTCTGCCCTAAACATGGTAAAAACCTCTGTGCTTGATTCCCAGGGAATACATGAACTAATCAAACGTACACATTTAATGCAATGCAACTGGTTTAGGATAAAAGCAACCACCAAGTGCATAAACACAATATGAATATTCGATTGCTTCATCATAATCGCAGGTGTGAAGCTCACCTGAGCGTTACATATGGCTGTGTCCGTCTCCACTCAGACCTGACAGCATCTGCGGATCTCCTGTGACCTTCTCCTCCTCTCTCCTCTTCAGACACGCAGCCTTCGGGTTCAGATTACGCTCTGCGATTCAGATCAGATGTTAATGTCTGCTGTGAGAGTTTACTGTCAGATTACAGAGTGATGAGGAAGCTCCAGTCAAACATGAATAATGAAGGAAGAGCAGGTGGGAGGAAGAAAGCACAACGTGATTCACTTCAGTTACTGTGAAGAACATGTCTGGCTCATAACTCATCCCAAAAACAAAGAATTACTGTACTAACACACATATGCTCATTACTGCAATGGGACACATGAGACATACTTTTAACTCATATTTTATACATTTTATTTTATATAATTAAAAATTATTATATTATATAATTGTTATATAACAATATATGTGTAAAAAATTTACAAAAATAACACTTTTCTGTTATATGCTATTAAATAAACAACAGTTTATACTACATATTTTATTCTATATTCTATTCAGTTTTTTTCATATATTATAAAATTTAAATTTAATGTACAATTTCATAACAGATGTAAAATGTAAATATGCTATAATATAATGCATGTTATTCTATACTCTATATTTTAATATTATATAATGTAAATTTAATATATTAATATTTTTATATAACAAAACATCACGTATATATAGAAAATTAGCATTTCAGGTATTAATAAATCAGGGTAGTTATTGTTTTAACACTATTTTACTATTTATTTTTATTAGTGCTGTCAAACGATTAATCACGATTAATCACATCCAAAATAAACGTTTTTGTTTACATAATATATGTGTGTACTGTGTATATTTATTATGTATATAAAAATACACACACACAGTATATATTCAGAAAATATCTACATGTACTTACATGTCTATATTTACATTCATGTAATTTAATTTATATATAAATATATTTAATATATAAACATTTTTCTTAAATATATACACAGTACACACATATTATGTAAACAACGACTTTCATTTTGGATGCGATTAATCGCGATTAATCATTTG